CACCCGCAGCTCTGCCCCTGCGCTCGCCTTGCATCGGGGGGTGTGCGTCCTGCATGCCCCGTTCCACCACCCCTGGCTGCTGCAGGCCTTTTGTGGCATGCAATTTTTTTTTTTTTTTGGCCAGATGCATTTTGCTGCATCCCTGTTGGGCTGGCTGCAGGCATATTGTTTGTTCTGAGCATTTGGCCGTTTGCATCTATTTGACACATGCCGATTGGTGCAGGCTTATTTGGTGGCTACATGCATCTCTTTATTGCATGCATCTCTCTTGCTTCCCCCGTGCCTATTTATTTTCTCTCTGTACATCTGCAGGGGCGCATGGAATACCTGGTGAAATGGAAGGGCTGGTCTCAGAAGTAAGTAGGTTACATACACAATTATGCAGCCTCGCAAATACTCAGAAGATGGTGGTTATGATTTATTTGATGCATGTGGCATTGTAACAGAAAGGAAAGCGAGATCCTCTTTTGAATTAATTGTATGTGTGTTTCCCCACCCCCACTCAAAACTGACCCTGTTTCTCAATCTGTGTGCCTGTCCTGCTAGGTACAGCACCTGGGAACCTGAGGAAAATATTCTGGATGCTCGGCTGCTTGCAGCCTTTGAGGAAAGGTACAAGGCCTTTGCTAGTCCTATCCACCACACCTATAAAGCCATGGCTCTGTCTTGTAGCAATGCTGAATTGAAACTCTGTTTTTGTAAATACCTCTAGGGAACGAGAAATGGAGCTATACGGGCCCAAAAAGCGAGGCCCCAAACCCAAAACCTTCCTGCTCAAGGTAAGGAGGCAGGAGTCTAGCGTGTGCATTGCCATGGTTGCGTTGCTGCGTGGAGAGGGCTGCATGCTGCAGTGGGGCGCGACAGACCCAGCATGCTCAGAGCAGGATTCGGCTCCAGCACGGATGGGGAGGCCCCGGCTTGTCTTGGAAGTTGTAATGACGGAGCCTAATGGCAGGATAATAAAAGTCACCAGTTGATTTATCTTCTTTGCAGGCCCAGGCCAAAGCCAAAGCCAAAACCTATGAATTCCGCAGTGACTCAGCCAGGGGAATCCGGGTGCCATATCCTGGTAGATCACCCCAAGAGCTGGGCTCCACGTCCCGGGCTAGGGAAGGCCTGAGAAACATAGCTCTGCCGGCCCAGGGCAGCCCCAGCACCTTGAGGGCTGAGAGCATCCGAGACCGGGTTGGGAGAATGGAAGATAAACCGGGGGAGATCCCTAAAAAGAGAGGCCCAAAGCCTAGGAAAGAGCATTACAAGGACTTGCCAGAGGCTCTGGATGTCTCCAAGAGGAAATTGTGTGAGCCAGGGGACAAGATTGGGGACTACCTCAAAGCCAGAAAAATAGAGGAGGCTGTGCCGGGGGTGGCAAAGTTTGGCTCAGGACACAGTGTGATCCAGCTAGCCAGGAGACAGGAACCGGACCTCTCTGGTGCGATGTCCAGCCCCAATAGAGCAGAGGCTGGCATGAAGCTGGGAGCCTCAGAGATGTACCCGCCCAGGGTCACCAAGCACAGGTCAGACTTTTTGGACCCCAAGGGGCAAGATGGATTGGACCCCGGCGGCCCTAAGATAATGCACAGCTCCACCAACCAGGGCTCTGTGGGAAGCTTGTACCGAGAAACGGTGGGGACTCAGTCTGGCAGGCCCTCCCTCATTGCCAGAATCCCTGTCTCCAGGATTCTGGGAGACCCAGAAGAGGAGTCCTGGAGCCCCTCTCTCAACAACCTGGAGAAAGTGGTGGTGACTGATGTGACATCTAACTTTTTGACCGTCACAATTAAAGAGAGCAGCACGGACCAAGGATTCTTTAAGGAAAAGCGATGAGTGTTTGCAGGATAAATCCAGAGAGGTAGATGCTTGGTTAGAGGTTGGTGGGGTTTTTTTCCAGGACAGGACCTAGAAACTATCTTAATTCTTTCTGCTTGCATTCTGTTTTTCTAGTTTTACGTTTCATTGGAAAGATTATCTCTAGAGTTATATTTTCTATTAGATGTAAATATGTTATTTAAGAAAAATCCCCCCTATATATATATATCTATATATATATATATATATATATTTCAATTTTAAGTTGTTTTATTTAAAAATGGAGACTGAACGGTGACTGCTCAGTTGCTCTTAGGACAATAAAAACTGAGAACTAATGAGTTCACGTATCTGTTGCAGGAGCCAGTGTATATAATGAACAATGTTTGTAGTTAATTATGTTCTGGGTTAATTTTTTGTTGTTATGATTTTTTTTCATAAGATGCTCTGGATGATGAATGGGGAAGTTGTATCCCTTTCCGGGCAAAATGCCCTGATTTCTTGATTGTGATATAAGGTGTTGCTTGTACAATCAAGTGTGCTGTATCCGGAACTGTCTGTCTGGGCAGCTGAAACAAGCACTTGAATTTACAGTATTGTTGGGTTTGGTTTCCAATTAAAAAAAAAAGTTGATATAAAATCAAAAAAGCCGAAGTCTATAAAAAGACTGACAGTTGTTCTAGTGAAGTATTAACTTGAATTACCTCTTCTTGCAAATGAAGAGGAGGTTTGTATGTTTAAGATTCCTAAAAGGAGTGATACTGAAATGCACTTTAATAGAATTGTCATAGCAGTTATGGGAGACAAAACTGAGCTGAGAAGCTGTTTTAATTTTGTCTGTTTGCTTGATTCTTCCCCCACCCACTTAAAAAAAATCTGTTTACATTCCTGAAATGCCAGAAAAGTTTGGGAGGATGCAGTGTCACTGCCCGTATTTAGATGCTCATGCTATTATAGAAAGTGTTACTTTGTTTCCCGGGGCCCTTTGGACTGGTGGGAGAGTCCAGATACAGTGTTCTCTAATATCCACATCTCCCCAACAAATCCCAGGGTCATTTAATTGGGGTTAGAGAAAATAAATATTTTCCCTGTTAGATGCCAGTTTCACAATGGTTGAGAGGAGATCTACTAATAGGTGCAAAGTAGGTGTTGCTGATGGAGGTTGCAGTTTGTATTTGTTTATGCCCTTCTCGGTGGAAGGTGCATGCCAACGTTTTAGTTTAGTTTGGCTCTGGGCTTACGGAGGTTTAACGAGGGAACAAAATGCAGCAGCTTCCATCCACTAGAGCAGCAAGACTGGAGGTCTTGTGTTATCTAGAGGAGATCTACTAATAGGTGCAAAGTAGGTGTTGCTGATGGAGGTTGCAGTTTGTATTTGTTTATGCCCTTCTCGGTGGAAGGTGCATGCCAACGTTTTAGTTTAGTTTGGCTCTGGGCTTACGGAGGTTTAACGAGGGAACAAAATGCAGCAGCTTCCATCCACTAGAGCAGCAAGACTGGAGGTCTTGTGTTATCTTGGCTATCCCTAGTGGAAGGAGAGGCGGTTGTTTTGGAGCCAGTGATGGGGGAAAGGGGACGATGTCGTGGTTGTTTTTAAAGGTGTAACAGGTGTTCTTCTCTCCTAACATATGTTGGTTTAAGCACCTTTGTTGGTTCAAAAGCACAAAACTGTCCAGCAGCCTCTGCCAGAGAAGCTGGCCTTTTCCTTTTGCAGCTCTGATTGGCCCAGTGAAGCTCGGACGTGCTTCTTCGTGTGGGGACTGCACATAAGATGAAAGCACACCGGGCCTGGTGGGAGAGGAAGGAGCTGGAGTTCAAGGAACAGCTTTGGCTACTCTTAGGCCCATTCTGAATAATTTTATCTCCTACCTCTTTAGACCCTTTTCCCTTCCATCTTTGGGACTTTTGTCCTTATCCAATCAAAGAAACAAGGGATCCGTGTTTTAGGCTGTGCAGGGGAGCTGCTTGTGTGTTTTTTAACATCACATTTTGTAAAGCCAAGTTTTTAAGTGTAGTGTGTACAAAGGACTGAAGCAAGGAATGTAACACTATTGATGTGATTTTTCAGGTGAAACCTACACGGGTCAGGTCTGTTCCCATGTGTCTGAATCTACCCCATCTATCTCTGCCCTACTTAACTGCAGGCTGGAAAATACCTCCCCTTGTGAAACAGATCACAGTGCAGCTCCTGCCTCATTGGAAAGAGTCCGGTGTGATTTTAATTTGGCATTCTTCACTCCAGACCTAGAGAGCTCTGGGTGTGTGGAGATGCACACATCTGGAAAACAAGGCACCCGTGGAGGGGAGTGTCTGTACATATCTACATATATATTGGATGTGTGTGTGTGCGTGCGTGTTCTTTAATTCTATGACTTGTAAAAAAAACAAAAACAAATCTGGCTAAATCTCAGTCTCAGAAGTGAAGCTTCGATTCGTGTCTTCTGCCAACCGTGAATGTCTACAGAATACCTGCTTTTTATGTGAGTTTAAATATATACTTTGTAAATAGAAAAGTGTCCTTCTTCTGTGCCCACGGCTTTGTCTCCAGCTGCACAGCCTGGCTCCCGGGGCCCTAGGGCCAAGATGGCTTGGAGAGTGGGAGGCAAGGCCGGTCCTGGCTCCGACTGGGGGTGGGAAGGGCCGGGGACGCGCTTGCACGTAAGGACGCGCTGTTGAGCAGCAAGGAGGCTGCCTTGCCTGGCGCCCTGTTTTGCCGGCAAAGCAACAAAGGTGGAGAGATGCCCCAACATCTCTGACTCTTGCACCAGCCGGCCTGAGCAGCGCCGGGGGGCTGCCTGGGAGACTGGCTCCCAGCAGGCCCCGGCCTCTGCGCATCCAGACCCCAACCTCTGTCCTTTCAGCGCTGGCTGCCCACAGCAAGGGAACCGCTGAGTCCTCTCCACCTGGACAATCTGCAGCGAGCCGCTGCCAGGCAGGAATTGATGTAGGAATTTGATTCCCAGATTGCTAGGCAACTCCTGGGGCTCTCGAGAGAGAGGGGTGCGTGGGGGGGGGGTGAATCTGCGCATCCAGACCCCAACCTCTGTCCTTTCAGCGCTGGCTGCCCACAGCAAGGGAACCGCTGAGTCCTCTCCACCTGGACAATCTGCAGCGAGCCGCTGCCAGGCAGGAATTGATGTAGGAATTTGATTCCCAGATTGCTAGGCAACTCCTGGGGCTCTCGAGAGAGAGGGGTGCGTGGGGGGGGGGTGAATGGGT